CACAGTCCTAATATTCTGACTCTTTTCAAAATATAATATTCTCTCCTCCATCAAAAAGATACAAAGATGTGGAACAGCTGCCACTGTAGTATTTTGCTAATTATCTCTGCTTCTTCCAGATCCTAAAGCTTGAAAGATGTGGAGAGGGAAGCCTAATGAGCAGCCAATTCAGACACCAGACCTTATTGGGAGAGCAGGAAGTGATTAAAAGAGGTAGCGTTAAGCCTCTAACAAAAATGCAGTCTTAACTAAGTTTACTAATTTCTTTTATTACATGAAACATACATGTAAAAATGAAAAACCTTTGCCTCCTTTCGCCAGCCTGAGTCATTGTTAAAAATCTCTGGTCTAGCCTTGGAGATTTTCTCTGCTTTTGCAAAGAATGTTCCCCTTTTTCTCTTTCTCTCTCATCTCATCACCAGGTCAAAGAAAGAGTAATTTCTATTTCTAACACATTCCATTTAAGCCTCACTGTTCTGCTGCTGTCACAAGACAACACGAAAAGAATTTGCGTTTCATGCTCCATTCGCGAGGGTTTGGTCACTACTGGAAGCTCCTTCTCAAGAGCTTATTTATTAGAAGTCTTACCATAAAACCCCCCACAGCGGTTTAGCAAAACCTGTGTGATTCTGTTTCCAAATCCACAAATACAATGTCTTCCCGAGACTTACATCTGAGTGTTTGTGTGTACTGTCACCTACTGCCATTAGTTTCCCTCTGTCCATCACAGGACTTGATATCCCCCATAGGTTTGATACATGAATTATTTACAGAAGGGTGGGCAAACAAGCTGATCTGGAAGTATGTGTTGAAAATTTTGAAAGAAAATAAAATCCTTGTACGGGATGGGAATTGTTAATCTCCAATATCAAAGTTCTCCTGGTACTTCTAAGAGAAATGCACTGAAATCTACTCTTGGAATCAGGAACTCAATGAAGAAGAACTGAGTAAAATCAATAAAACTCTAGAAATCTCAACAATTTCCACCGCTTTTTCTCCATGGCCCACACAAACAGATGGTGCCTTTTTCTCAAAGGCGTCGATCTAAGCATCTCTAATTAGAGCTTCAGCACTGATAACACATTAGGATTCCTAACGTAGGGTGCCCCAAAGGTGGGGCTGACAGCCCGGACCCTCACCCTTGACGTTTCAGATGGCTAACGTGCCTTTCTCAGCACCTAAGGCATGTTGAAGCCCTGTAATTCTGTCTCTCTGGCAACTCGTAATTTTTCATTTGCTTTTATTTACTCAGGAACCCCAGGAAAGGAAGACTCAGTGCTGACCCTGGGGTCCCTCGGCTGTCCCCAGGCTTTCTCACGTGCACCCCAGCCCTGCCTTCCTTTTGTGTGAGGCTCGCGGCCCATGCCTGATGGTATGAAAATACAACATAGCTGCCCCGAACGGAGGGTTGAGAACGTGTTTCCCTCTGCCTTCTCCCTTGAATCCTCTCATTTCGTTTTCCTTCTGATTCCACCATTTCTGAGTCTGTCTACTCTGTGATCTGGGCCTCAAATAACCGACCTCTCATTAGCCAAAGATGCCCTTAGGTCCTGGGGCCCATCCGTTCATTCACGGACACCCTAGTGAGTATTTCCTGCACATGACAGGCCAAGGATATAAGAGTACCTAAGACAGTCACAGTTTTTGGCAATGCAGTCTAGCAGAGAGAGAAGACACATCGCCCATTTATCATGGCCCATCATGACAAGAACTGCAGCGAAGCAAGGATCATGCGCTCGGAGAGCTTGGATGAAAGAGTAATCGCGTCTGATCAGGAGGGTCAGAGAAAGTGTCAGGACTCTTCTCCCGGTGCAGGATGGCCTCTTCATGGTCCTCTGCCACGATCTCCTGTTTACCCCCTCCCAGGTCTGCCATAACCAGTGTTTTACTCTTCTCCCTCCCTGGGAAAACTAAACTCCATATGGGCAGAGAATGTGTTCTGAATCTCTGCATCCCTGAGAGTGACCATGGCCTCAGACATTAATTAATTAAGTAGTTAATGCATTAACTTTCCTACTCAACAAGTCTACTGAGCAGGTACCAAGAGCTGGGCACTCCCCCAGGCACTGGGGATGTAACGGGCTGAGACTATACCCAGTTCTTGCTCTCATGGGGAGGACAGTCTAGGAACGAGGATGTAATCACATCGGTCTATAATCTGTTTGGTGGCCCCTGCACACTATGGGGAAACTAGACGCCAGATGAAAGTCAAGTTGATTGTAGAGTGGTGGTCATAGGCTGTTCTTTCCTATAGGGCAAGCCAGGGAAGGCTGCTCTGTTAGATGACTTCCGAGCAGAGACCCAAAACGAGTGAGGACATGAGCTGTGTGGACACGTGCAGAGCAATGTTCCAAGTGGAAAAGATGGGGTGTGGGGGGATGCACCTGGAGGGAGTACAGTGGCCGGGCCCAGCAAGGAGCTCTGAGAACAAGAGGGAAGGAACCGAGGTGGGGCCATGGCCAGGCAGGTCATGATATGCCTCTATGCAGGACTTTGGGTTTTTCTTTGAGTGGAAAGGGAAGTTTCTGCGGTATTCCAATGAAGCAGAGGGGTTGATCTGACTTCTGTGTGGCAATACCCTGCAGGGTAGGCAAAGATGGGACAGGGAGATGAGAGAGGCTGTTGCTTATCCTGAGAAAGGGATGAAGCTTTAAGAGAGGGTGGCAGTGGTCCAGGGGAGGGGACAGAGTGGCATCTGGCTGTAGGTCAGAAGACCAGAAAACAACCACTGGCTTGACTACTGGCAGAAGGCATTTTATATGTTCGTTACAGGCAAATGCATTTTGTATATACAGCTGTCTCTCTCTCTCTCTCTCATACACACACACGCTCAGTAATAACACTGTTGGCAATATTAACAATGAATTCACATCGTTTGTTTACAGAGAAGGTCTATCTTCCAGTAGTTGAATTAGAAGGACCGTGTGCTCTCTGAAAACTGAAATGAGGCCCTTTAGGTATCACTGGGGAACAGATGTGGCAAGAACATTGTGTGTGTCTGTGTCTCCAGTCAGAAGCATATTCTGTCAGAGGAAAGTCACATAGGCATATTCCCAAGCACACAGAGCTACAGTGAATAAAAAATTAATTTATATGAAAATGCATCCTAAATAATACACTGTAATGTACCTATTGATCAATATCTAACATATCAAAGACACCTTATGGCTTAACAGTTCTTTTCCTTTCTCTCTGACCATCACAATGCAGCTGTGATGTATATTCGTCCCAGAAATACTCTGAACACAATGGTCCAGATAATATGCCCATTTCACAGGTGGGAAAAATAAGCCTCAGTGAGCTTAAGCATCTTCTCAAACTTCATGAAAGGGGTAAATGTACATGAAGTTACATATGAAAAGAAAAGATCAAAAGCCGTTGGCATGGGATCGAATTCTCTCCTGATCCTCTTCTAACAGGGGGCACAGAAGCAGGTGTAGACACTCCCAAGAAAAGAAAGCAAGGCCTGGCCTCATCTCCTTCTGAACATGCTGATCACTGGACCCCCCAGTAGGGAGATAACCACGTCAACCAAGAGGAAAATGTTTGCTTGTGGGAAGCTGTTAGCACGTCCCTAGTCAAGCCAGCATTTCTTATCACCGTTAGACCTGGGATCTCAGAACTAAGGAGGCATAGATCCTTAGCAGTTTCATATAAGCCACGTAATGATCGGAGTCCAAAATGGAGAGGTTTCAAAACCAAAACCCTCCAGAGAAGGAAAAAGTCATCTAGAAATCTCTCTTTCCATCTCAATCAAAGCTGGAGAGAAACAGTTGACAGTTCCTCTACAGACTGTCTCCCATCACTATTCTGAGCTGTTTTTCTATTCCGCTGAGCGCATAATGTGATCACCTGTGTCCCCGGATCTGTTGCGCCTTTGGTAGGCACATGTTTCTCCTGTCTGCAGTGGTTTTCAGCCTCAGCTGCAAATCAGAGTCAGCTGGGGGAGCTCTGAATTGTCATATCCCAGAAAAATATCAGAATCTCCAGGAACCCGGCTAGGGTTGGGAGGCAGGTGTCCGCATTTTACGGCTCCTGGGTGATTCCAACATGCAAACAAGGCTGAGAACTGGGGGCGCGTTCCAGAGCTCGGGGCTGTTTGGCGCCCGGCCTTCTCGAACAGAGTTCCATGTACCACAAAGAAATATAGCTCACCCCTGACCTGGGTTTCCCTGAGTTAGGTTTTTAATGTGATGTGAATTTTGATATTTTTCAAAATTAAGTCTTACTCATTACATCAGTCCTAAGACGACTTAATTGATCCTACTATTGAATTTTTAAGTGAACCAGTAAAAATTTCTGGCACATGATCCTAACATAATATTTTCTTGTTTATGCAATCATTTATTAGTTGATTCACTTAGCCATCCACGGCTTTGTCTCCAAAAGAATGTAGGTGAGCTTTATTCACGTTTATATGTGCCTGGTCACAAGCAGACAATAGAGGAAATCCACTGCAGCCAGAAAGAAAGTGTAGAGGCAAAAGAATGATTGCCTAACAGTCTGCAGTGGATACAGTACAATGATTGCCTAACAGTCTAGAGTAGATACAATGTATCTGCTTTATTTTCCAAAGTATCTTCTTTAGGACAGAAGTTCTACCTCCCATTTGTTAAAGATTAATTACAAACTCCAATGTAGTAATTAGGAAATACTGCAGCTCATTATCCACGCCTGGTCATTTGAAAGTGTCACGTTTTGAGGATCATCTGTCAGACATACATTTGGAGGACGGCCTGCAGGCTCCATCATTAAGCCTCTGCCTTTGGCTCAGGTCGTGATCCCAGGGTCCTGGGTTCGAGCCCTGCATGGGGCTCCCTGCTCAGTGAGGAATCTGCTTCTTCCTCCCCTCTGCTCATGCTCTCTGCACCCTCTCTTAAATTAACAGTCTTTAAAAAAAAAAAAAAAAAAAGATGTACATTTGGCTATTGGATTTTGAACCCACAACTGATTCTCCTCCCTGCGTTGACCCCCACGTGTCCCGGTCAAAGGGTTCTCACCAGATGCAGCAGGGACCCTCCCGAGGAAACGGCAGTGTGTGGATCCGCGCCCTCCTTCAGGAGCCGGAGTGCTGGAAAATGGAAAGAGTAGGCAGTTAGAGTGCGTGCTCCGTCCACACCGTGAACCAACACTGGAGCGTTGCACTAGTATCTCAAAAGCTAACGTCCATAAAAGTCCACGCAGACACAACCACTGCCCTCTGGCCTTCCTTGGTATAGGTAGGATCGGTGGCCTTTGTCTTCACATTCAGGCTTCTTCCCTGGTCTGTCAACGTGATTTCTTATTACAGCCGCCCAAAGTATTCAGAAAGGGGAACATGTTCTTACAGTTTGTTGTTTCCGAGCGCCTAGTTTGTATACCCTTTACAGGGCAAGATAATAAAAAGAAATTACTTCACTAGGCTCATGGAGGCACCGGTTCATGTAACTTTTATTTTTTTATCTCATTAGGGCCATTGGCTTAAAACAAAGTTTATACTCTGGACAGTAAACTTCTCTTCCTACGATGGCCTCTTGGGAGTGTGTCCGCCATTCCCAAAAAGGACTGTGGGACAAAGCCATTTCTATCCAGATTAAGAATGCCAAATAGGTCAAGATAGACGCCAATTACCAGAACAAATGCACAGCTGGAAGGTGACCTTGTTTTCATCTCAACGGCAAAGGTGAGTTCGTTAGTACAAAGTACGCCATAGGCATGGGGAGACTGTTCTGGTCTCTGCTCTAGGACCAGCCTCACAGAAATCTCATCAGTTCCCCAAAACACCATCATGGTTTCCACAGTTAATAGCAGTATCACAGTCTTGATAAAAAGCCATTAATGTATTTTCCATAAAAACTATAATTAAAGCAACAGTGAGTCTTTTTTTTCCCCCATTATACCACAATCCGTTACTAAATGGCTTGGATTCAAATGCATATGTCACTGAACATACTGTCTTTCCATGAAGCTTCTCTATAGTTTGGAGTGTCACTCAAATGTCCCTTCTATTCTATGGTGCCCCAAATCGTTTATGTGTTCCAATATCTAGCATGTCACCCTCTTCCCCAGAGCTAACCACATGTCACGAGGGGCACCAACAGTCCTGGTAGACATGGCTACTCCTGTCATCCTCTCTTGAGGAAGGCCATCGCGTTGATGTCATGTGCAGTGGGGGTGAGAAATGGAGACTGAAGAGCCCATCCAAAATGGGGGTGACATGGTAACAGCAGAGACAACCCACACCCAGCCCAGTGTGGCCTCCAGACAGCCCTTCCTGAAGTCAGAGGGCCTTTTGTCCAAATCTCTCTCCCTAGCGAAGTCAGACACACCCCAGTGCCCTCTCAACAGTGACATCACTTGGCCCCAAGGGCCGGCATGCCTTCACTTCCATCCTCCCTCTGAAAGCTGTCCTCAGTAGGAGTCTGTCCACATCTGTACACCTGCCAAGGGGCTTCCCCTTGAACATGTTCTTTCTCCAGTTAAGAATTGAACTCTTTTCACAACACAGATTCTCCTAATGGTGGTAGTTTGTGACCAAAGAATCTCAAAGACGGCAATCCTACAGGATCAAGTGTAACCTGACACGGCATGGGGAGACCATTTGCTCCCTTGGGCACCTCCCTCTTCAGCCATCAAAACATCCAGGAAGGTGAGTCCTTGGCCTTTCTTGTCCTCACTGCATATCTGGGAGCAGCCCTGTGGCACGGTCCGCAGGTGTCCTTTCTGCCTCCTGTTCCCCGCTCTCCCTATGCACACGGATAAATGGACTCACTTCTCGCCCCCACCCCCAGAACCCTTCTAGCCTTAAGTTCATTGACAACAGCAGACGGTTAATTAAATACACTTACCAATGGCTTCCCCAGAAGATAAATAGCATTTTCCCCCAAATGTTTATTTTTTTAGCAAATGAAATTGTTCATCTTGAATTAACTAATATTAACACAGTGCTTTAAAGTTTTCATAGCAAAGCACATACACTACAAACACAGTATGAGGCAGATTTTATTAGAAAAACGTTCATAAAATGTTGTCAGATATTTTTAAAAAGATTTATTTGTTTGAGAGAGGGAGAGAAAGCAGGGGGGGAAGGACAGAGGGAGAGGGAGTCCCAAGCAGCCTCTGCACAGAGCAAGGAACCCGACGCAGGGCTCCATCTCACGACCCTAAAACCAGGACCTGAGCTGAAACCAAGAGCCGATACCCAACCGACTGTGCCACCCAAGCACCCCTGCTATCCGATTTCTGAGTAGAATCCACCATGAACCTGTGTAGTGAACGACACATAACAGGAGTCCGTGAGACACTGACCTTGGGCTTCCACAGACTGGCTGTGAGGCCTGGCCCCACTGGGGCGAGCTGCTGAATTCTCAGGGCCTCAGTTTCCTGTCCATTGACCTCACGTCCTGGGGGCACTGGCACAAGTGAATGAGCCAATGAGCGGCCAGTATATCATGCCTCCTGGCACTGGGTACCGATCTCCAAATGATTCCTACTCTTATAATTATGCTATGTCACAAAACCCCATAATAACATATCTAGAATCTGTAACTTAAGGTTTATTCTAAATTTTCTCAAAACCTTCCGACTTTTAAACACTGAATGGGAGTCTAGAATATAAGCAAAGCGGATTTAGCAAGAGTCTCCTGGAGGACGAGTGTGTAGTTTATCCAGCACAAAATTGGTGAGGAGGACTATGCAGGAGGCAGTGAGGAGCAACGAGCCTGAGGGGGAGGGGGAAACCACGGAAAGCTCAGAGGATGGGGTCAGTGAGGACACGGCACATCACGCTACGGGACTCAGACAACATTCTGTGGGCAACAAATGCCCTCCAGTCAGCCCTGAGTACTATGTATTTAATTATTTGTAAACAATTTGTTGTGCAGGGTCCATCCCAGGACCCCAAGTTCATGACCCAAGTCAAAGGCAGACGCTTGACCGACTGAGCCACCCAGGCATCCCTGGAGAACTACTCTTTATTACAATCAACTTAATTGTAAGTTTATCTACTTTAATTTTTACTGTAGGCTTTAACTGTTCCACAACCGACTGACGAATTCCTGAAATTTTAACAACTGGTTCTCGGGGGCCAGAAGGGCAAGCTCAGCATGCTACTGGGGACAGCCTGAGGTCCTTGAGAAATGGGCCCAAGAATGTCCACAGATGACAAGGACTATACACCCAGGAATTCCAGAACTTCTTGCCACAGTGACCGATGAGTAAGTCCCACCTCTCACTGGGCCACATCTTAGCCTAAGGAGAAAAGAAGTGGAGACAATTTGAGCCTGTCTTTTCCCCAAATGGAAGGGCTATTTTCCAAAAGGGCTGTTTACATGATCAGACAGAACTAAGTTGGAACCACAGAAGACATGCTGCCTGGGTAGCCCCTGGGTACCATGGTGGGGACCAAAGAACAGAGCAAATCAGCCACTGAAAAAATAAAGAAACGTTTTTCATATAAACACGCACACAAGTTGTAGAGTGAGCTAAATTCTATGTCTGCTAAGTCTTAAAACTGGACACTGTGAAGTACCCATATATAAAGAAGGAATGAAGAAAATGCCATTTGCACAATAATTGATTCATAACAGAGAATTCTGAAAAAGAAGAGGGTATGACGGGGAAACAAAGGCAAAAGAAACATTAAATTTCCTTACTAACAGCTCATCAACAGGTCCTTGAAACAGACAGAGGGACCTTCCCCTAGGTCCCTCTAGGGACCAGCTCAGCTGCCTGGATGTTGGCATTTTGCTAAGGGCCAAAGGCCATCTTAGCCCAACCCAGGGCCCTGTGAGTCTACTTTAATTATAAAAATTCCTTTGGAAAGTTCCTTTATCCATTAACACACCCCTCCCGATGCATGTCAGCAGTCTTCCCCCAAGCATATGGCTCACCGTTACACATCCGCAGGGTCTCATGACTAAGGTTTTAGTGGACAGTAATAAATGGCCTTTTTGTAACAATAGCTAGTCCCATCAAGGTCCTGGAAACCTTGCTTCCAAAATTCCTTAGAGACTTATGTTAGCCCTAAACCATTCCCAACTTGAAAGTCTATAATCAGTCACCCTCATAACCCCAGTGCAGCCTCTTCTGCTCACGGGTTCTGTCCCCCTGCTTCAATAAAACCACCTTTCTGCACTGAAGATGTCTCAATAATTCTTTCTTGGCTGTGGGCTCCAGATCCCAACACTTCCTATGCCAGGTACATTTTCCAATTCTAACACACACTGAGCACTTTTTAAAGAACTTTGGCTGTAAGAACATGAGTATAAGAATTACTTTAATTCTCTCGAGTCCATGATGCAGATCCTAGAATTGTTTCACTAAGGACACAGGGACTCCGATCTTGTGACGTCCCCAAGCCACACGGTAACCTGCTGGACCTAGCACTCAGCGTGGGCAGCAGGATTCCAAGGATTCTCAACAAGAACAGCATCGGGGTAGAGAAATTTCAAAATCACAATAGGAAAAAGAAATCACAACAGGAATCAAGATCCACTTTAATAACAAGGGGCGAATTGCCAGTCAAGTCAAATGGCCTGGCCACTCCGGGTCTTTCCGCGACAATAAAATCCGCAGGCAAACAGCCGGAGGAGAAACAGCCATCTGGGACCAAACAGAATAATGGAGCCGAGGCTGCCTCTTAGAGTGGGGCAGCTTGGAACCGATTCAGCATCTCCTGGATACTTGTGGCTTTGTCATCAAGCTGCTCAGAGCTCCACTGAGAAGTCTGTGTGGGGGGCAGGATTTGATATTTAAAAAGAAACATTCAGTCTCTAAAGCTTCAGCTATTGCGGTAGAAAAGTGGATGCAAACACATCAGAAAATGTGCTAAGGAGCTCTAATAGAATCAGCTGTCACCACGGAATGTCCCTACCAGCACCAACATAACCAAAACCAAGAGTCCGGCTGGGAATCGGCACTTACTCCGAGTCTCCAGATAGTACCACGATTTATCTGTGTGGATGACATGCCAGCAGCACACGGAGGAGAGGACCTGGACAGCAACCTGGGGACCATAACTGCTCTGGGAATTCTAGGAACCCGTGTGGGTATCTGGCTACACGGTGTTCCATTATACTCACGTGATTCTCA